GGTAAAAATGACAGGCAGGTGGGTCCTAGTTGGAGGAGATCCTAGTTGGAGCATGCCCTGGAAGATTTCTTCTTCTCCCCAGGCACGTCCCCTCTCTCTCCCTCCCCACTCCCCCCTCCTCCCCTCTCTCTCTCTGCTCTCTGGCTGCCATGAGCTGAGCAGCTCTCCTCTGCCATGAGCTTCCACCACGATTTCTCTCCCTTGGAACCGATGGACCATAGACTGAACCTCTGAGACTGTGAGCCACAATGAATCTTCCTTCTCCAAGCTGTTCTTGTCAGGCATTTTTGGTCATAGTGACACAAAGCTGATGAACACAAAGACTTTGAAAAAATCTTTTCTCCACATGGAGCCTCAATTTCTTCCCTTTTAAGTTGAGAGATTATGATCCAGGCTCTCTAGGGTCTCAGAGCTCTGAATCTCTGGGAGTCTTTCAGGGCTGCTATATACAGCTACCCTGGTTGAACACTGCACAACTCCAGATAGATGCCACTCTCAGGCTGTACACTCAAGTGGCCTTAGACTCAATAAAGGGGGATAGAGATAGAGGGGATGCAAAGAAAGGATATGAGAGGGCAGGAAAGAGGTTTCAAGCCCATTGAGGGGATAAATAAAAATGGTCTTTGCCTCTTTCCTCCAGTCAGGAGGAAGACAAGTCTATACTACAAAGGAGGATGAGATAGGTCACCCTATCGCCACCCACCTGGTCACTCAGCCCCGTCAGCTCTGATTCAGAGGGCAGAGTCACTAGCGAGAGATCCCTTTCGTGTGGGGTGACATTCCCCCAGACTGGCGCTCCCGTGCCTGCCCCAGTCTGCAGGGCAGTCCAAGGGCCATGGTCTCCCTGATGCTCCTTCACCCAGATTTCCTGTAACTGGAAAAGCGGGGTCCTTCCGCCATGACGCTGGGTACTGTGTATCAGTGCTTACCTGAGCCAGGTGCCACCCAGCCCCAGACCTGGATCTGGGCATCCCGGGTCGGCTGCCACTCCGTCCGTGCATCCACTCGTTCACACAGTGAGTCAATCATTCGTCATTGAGACCCGAGCACTTGCCCAAGGTCAAGTCTGAGGACAAGATGCAGGCCATGCCTCCCAGCGCCTTCCCACAGGGTGGACGGCCACACTGGCCTGAAGCAATCCAGTTAGGAAACGACCGGAGGCCCTAGGTCACGGATGCTCCCACAGGCCTCAACGTCTTCATCTGAAAATGGAAGGTTCCACCCCATGAAACCACCTCTGGGTCACGTATGGGGAATCCGAGTCTGGAAGTCGGGTGGAGCCCAACCAGGGAACCATCGTGGGCCATGCGAGCCCAGACGCAGGCGCTGTGACCCCACCCTGCTCCCCACCCAGTGGCCTGCTGCTCCTCCAGGCTGCCTCCTCCGAGAGGGCGCGGTGGGGGATCCACCTTGAGCTGGGGTCTGGGCTCAAGGTCTTGGCTGCTCCAGGCTCCAGGGCAGGAGCCTCATCTTTGCCTTCATCCAGACACAGCTGGTCCAGGAGGCCAGGCTGAGCGCCAGGCCTGAAAGAAGAGACATCCACCTGCTAGAAAAATCAGCAAACTCATTGAAAAAGCCAATCACCCACTTTTTCTCACCCAGCCGTGCCCAGGCCCATGACCTTGGAAAGGGCCCCTATCTTTGCTGCAAATAATTGCCAGGAAGATCTATGGTCAGTTAAACAAGTCAATGTTCCTCTTGCACTTTTTACTCTTACTCTCTTAAGTAAGCTTGGGTCTGACCTGCAGGAGAAGATGCTGGATGCTGGCTCGTTCTTTACATCACGTTGAACGTTTTCCCCACAGCATAGACTCCAGGGTTTGGGTTATTAAATCAGCAAGACCCAAATGCTCCCAAGATGAACTCCCAGTGGTGTGATAATAGCAATTACCTTGGAGGATTCCCCTGGGTGCAAATCACAGGAGAAATGTCATCAGTGGGAAATCTCCTGGCTCAGGCAACCCAACAGGAAATTGGCTGGTTTATCACCCAGATGCTAAAAAGGACAATGGGGTCCTGTGGCCAGTGGAAAAGCAATCCTTTTCCTCACCTGAGCCAGGGAAAATCCCAGGGACTTGGAGCACCCCTGGCTGTAGGTGGCTCCTCTGTCCTTCTCCAGTTTGAACCAGTATAAAGGAATACAGAGGCAGACCTGGGTACCTGTGGGGCTCATGTTCATGGATTCAATTCGGTGCTGGTTGGAAATATTTGAAAAAAAAAAAATACTTCCATGCCAGACATATGCAGGATCCTTTCCCTTGTCTTATTCCCTAAACGATACAGTTTAACAACTATTTACATGGCATGTACATTGTATTTTGTATTATAAGCGATCTAGAGATGATTGAAAGCGTACATGGAGATGTTGCCTAGGTTATATGCAAATACCTCATCATTTTATATAAAGGACTCAAGCATCTGCAGAGCTGGGTATCTGTGGGGGATCCTGGAACCAAACCCCCATGGCTACAGAGGGATGCAGAAGGGATTGGGGGTGGAAGGCCAGAATGGGCATCCCTATAATTAGCCAGCCCCGCCCTGACTTTTCCCGGGAAGCAGCCTCTCGCTGTTCTGCCTCCCTTCCCTGAGCTTCCGGACTCAGCTTGTCTGATTCTCTGTCATCTGCTCGGTTTTTCTGCCCTGTGCTCTCCCCTCCTCTGTCTCCTCCTCCCTTTCCTGAGGTGGGTCCCCTGTGTGCTTCAATCCATGGGACTCCAGGCCTTACCCCCAACGAACCTGCTCGCCTGGGTCCCCTGAATCAATCAAGCACAATTTGATTGTCCCTGGTTCCCCAGGGCAGGGACCTAAGATCATTTTGGATTTGCATGTCCTTCAAAATAATTGTATTACTTTATAAGTTTTATACATGTAAGGCTGCGAGCAGGATATTAAGAAATAGAAGGGGAAAAGCTAATGAAGATAAAACATAAATGGAAATTGCAATTTTTTTCTTCCTGCTGTCCTAATTATTATTATTATTATTTAACTCCCAGGGTATGTTCTTCCCACTTTGGAAGCCATAGCCACGGGAACGGGGACAGGAACTTTAGCCATGGAGGACAGGGTGACATCACAGAGGTGGGCCCTTCTCCCCTTTAGTCTTCCCCTTACCTTCCTGGCCCAATCAGCTAAGCTGATTCTCAGGGGGGGGACCCTTAGGATTGGGGTGAGACCTTAAGACTTCTGTGGTAGTCAGTTTTTTGTCACTATGACAACATACTTGAGAAAAACAACTTAAAGGAGAAAATACTTCATCGGTTTCTGAGGTTTCAATCCATGGTGGGCTGGCTCCATGGCTTTGGCCTGAGATGAGGCGGAATATCATGAGAAGGGTGTGACAGAGGATAGCTGCTCAGTTCCCAGCAGCCAGGAAGGGGGGAGGGGGGAGAGAGAGAGAAAGACGGGGGGCAGGATCGGGGAGAAAGTGTGTATGTTTGGGAGCAATATATAGTTCCCCAGGGTATCACCCCCTTCAACTATGACCCCCCTTCTACAGTGGCCAGCACCTCCCTGTGGTCCATCCCACTGTGAATCCATCAGTGGACTAACCCACTGGTGAGGTCAGAGCCCTCAGGGTCCAATCACCTTCCCAGAGCCCCACTTTGGGACCCTGCTGCATGGGGACCAAGCCTTCAACACCGAGCCTTTAGGGGACAGTCCAGATCTATCAATACCCCCCACCTGATAATTCCTCATGATATCATTGCCTTCTAGGCCAGGGGCAGCCATGGTGGGCCGTGGCCGGACACCTGCTGCCTTTCAAGGTGCTCTGTGGAGGCTGCGTGCCCAGTACTGCCTGTGCTGCAGGAGGGTCGCACACTCCTCTCGGGGTGCTCGGCCTGGCCCAGGGTGCTGTGAATCAGGCCCACGCTGATTTAGTGGCATATCGTATTCCTGGTGACAAGATTCCTCACCTGTAAATGAGAGGGTTGGACTGAGTGACAGCCAGGCCTCCGTAAACCCTGGCAGCGTGACACGGGATGCTAGAGGCAGCTTGGAAAGGACCAGGGAGAAGGCAGGGGCTGGGAGGAAGTGGTCTGCCTGCCAGCTCCTTCCACCCAGAGAAAGGCTGTGGGGGCCCCAGGTCCCCAGGAAAGGGCAGCGTCACGTTTAGCCTTGACCCTTCAAGCGGTGTCAGTGGTCACTGTTCTGATTTCTAGTCCATTGCTTCTTTTAGTAACCTCAGCTGCTTTTCACAGGAAAAAAAGGCTGCTTTGCGCCATCCCGTGGGGCTCTCCATGGGTGTAGTTGGAATTTTTTTTTTTTTAAATAAAAGCCATGTATACATTTTAATTGTTTGGTGTAGCAGGGTGGGGCATGGGAAAATGGAAAATGTTCAGATGTTTGTTTCTGGTGTGTGTGTGTGGGTCATGTTTCCAGTGTGCCAGTTAGTATTCCAAGAGCACTTAAATAATATTTAATCCATCCTAACTTAACAAATATTTCCCATTGTTGTTTTGGTAGTACTGGTGATTGAATGCAGAGGCATTCTACCCCTGAGCTACATCCCCAGCACACCCCCACACATGCACATTTTTTTTTTTTGAGACAGGGTCTTACTAAAGCTGACTTCAAACTTGCAATCCTCCTGCCTCATCCCCCCGAGTCACTGGGATCTCAGGTGTTCTCCACCTCACCCAGAAGAGCAGGGTTTACATAGATGAGAATTACAGAGGTGGGGAAGAGGGTCCATGCCGGGCCCAGGGTCTAGCAGCAGACCTGACCCCCCCAAGCAGGAGGTCACAGGGAATGGTGCTTTCTGGAACCCAACAAGGGGGGTCACATGTAGAAAGGTAACCTTGAGAGGATTAGCTTCCTTCAGCTGAAAGACAGTTGGGGACAGAAGCGAGGGATGAAATGTCCAGCCCCGTGTCCCATTTCCTGCTGAAGCTTACCTGTGGCCAGGGTCCCCAGAAGCTGGAAGGCATGAGGTTATTGGTGCAGTACCTGACTGCTTTGGGGGCAGTGGGCTGTGTACCCCAAGGGTCAGCGGAAGAGTTTTGGCAGAGGGTGATGCCCCAAATCTATTTCTTTTACCATAAGTTGCAATCAATAAACACTTAAAAGCCCTTGTCCATAAGAAGTGCATGGAGCCAATTTGGGCTCAGAGTCAGCTAGAGCAAGGCTTGAATCCTGGCTCTGTGGCTTGCAAACTGCATGATCTTGGACAGACTCCTTAGTCCCTCTGAGCCTTCGCCTGTGTGCATGTAGGAAGAGAGATCATAATGCTGGCTGTGTAGGTTTATCCTGGGGATTAGAGGTAATAATTGAGAGACGGCTGGCACATAGGAGTGCTCAGTGGGGACTGCATTAATCCCAGTCCTCAGTGTTAAAACAGGAATTATTTGCGGAGGACAGGCGACCCCATTAGCTCTGGGCCGGAAGGAGCCTGGCTGCTCTGTTTCTTGAGGCATCACCAGGGTGGAGGATAGCCCTGCTTTATTTTCCACCCTCTTTGGTTACTTTGTTCCTTCTGCAGGCAATTGATGGAAGGATTTATAAATTACAAGGTGTTTATTGCCCCTGGAGAAAGTGCAAGCCAGTTGTCAATGGAATTTACTACGAAATTAAGCAGTAAGAAGGATTAAAGCCCAAGGAAGGGACCCGGGCAGGAATAGCTGCTATGCAGGGGGGAGAGCGGAGGTTGGAGCCTGTTTTCTGTGTAATTCTCAAGTGCCGCAGCAGCTTCTGTAAGATAGGAGGCCTGCTCCAGCTCAGAGGGAAGTCAGCCAGGCAGCTTCCGCTGCACCTGCAGACATGGCTTGGGCAGAACCTGCATTTCCCCTGCCCCTGCTGTGAGAAATCCAGTCCACAGGATCCCAGGCTGGAGCTCATGGCAAAGTCACTGTATGGTAATCCTCCTGTGTCCAGAGGGGACAGGTTCCAAGACCTCTAGTGGATGTCTGAAGCCATAGATAAAACAGATAAAATATAGGGTTTGGTGTTTTCTTTTTCCTATATGCTATGTAGTGTTGCCACATAGTACCACAGTATCTCTGCATCACTACTCTTGCACTTTGGAGACTATTAAGTAAAATAAGAGTTACCTGAATACAAGCACTGCAATATCAACTTTGATCCCATAACCAAGGCAGCTACTATGTAACTAATGGGCAGGTAGCATATACAGCATGGACACACTGGAGAAAGTATGATTCATATCCTGGATTGGATAGAGCAGGACAGCAGGAGATATCTTCACATTACTTAGAAGAGCACGCAACTTAAAACTTACGAATGGTTTATTTCTGGAATTTCCCACTTAATATTCTGGGACTCTGGTGACTGTAGATAACTGAACTAGGAAAAATGAAACTGGGGATAAGTGCGGACCTCTATATTTCTCTTTGGTAAACATTGGGGTTCCCTTTGTCCTGATAAGTTGAGCTGGATGGCTCAGGCTTTCATTAATAGATACATCCTATAAGAACCTGTTTTTCCACCTGAAAAATGAGCAAGGTAACTCTGTGAAGCTCAGCATCACATATGTGAAGATCCTGGGGCCGTTGGAGTGACCCTGGTCTGGCCATCCCTGGGCGAGTCCTCCTCAGCAGCACTTCTGGCCTCCTGTCTGCTCAGATTGGTTCGTATGGATTCTCCTATGATTAAACCCTCCGGGTGCCACTGAGGGCTGCCTGTAGTTCTGCTGAAAGACACTGATAATTATGCCCAGTGCTCCGCCTTGGGGAGGGCAGCAGGAGCATGCTCTGCAGGAGCTGGCGCCCCAGGCTCATCTGCATTAAAGTGGGCGGTTTCCCCCACATTCCAGCCACACAGCACGCATGCTCAGGAGCCCACAGCCAGGCGTGTGGCAGAGGCTTTGGTAACAGATGAAGGGGAGGAAGGCAGCCAGCCAGGAGCTCTGCCTTGAAAGGGATGACAAGACAGCGGCTCAGAAGTCACCCTCCATGCAACGCAGCGCCGTCCTGGGTGCCGGCGGAGACGGGTTTCTAGAACTGAATTTCTCAGGCTGGGCTCTCATCCAAGCTTCCCCCCTTTCCAGCTGGGTGGCCTCCAGCAAGATATTTCACCTTTCGGTGCCTTGCTTTCTTTAATTAAAAACAGGGAGAGAGATGTGTTGTGATGAAGCTGTCACACAGGCCAGCTGTCACCACCCTGTTCATCTGCATGGCCATCTCCACCTTCATCCTCATCTTCTCCACTGATGATCAGCGTTCTCTTGGTCCTCCCTGGGGAACAGAGAGGAGCCCTGGACCAGGGGAGTCAGGGCTGACATTCACTCATTATTATTTCCCAAAATGGATTGTTTCAAATAGGATCTGAGGAGAGTTCTAAACATTCTTATACTTCACCAAAAGCAAGCAGAATAAAGACCTTGGGAAATTTGGACGAGGGGCAGCTGACAAGGGGTGTCCAGAACGCCTCTTTGGTACTGGGGAGTTTCCAGAGGTGGCCGCCATTCTGGCTCTGAGCTCCTTAAAAATATGATCGGTTTCAAAATTCACTGACAACTGTAAGCCCGTTGCAAAATGCAAGAAGCTCCCGAGCAGAAGGTTGAATGAAAGAAGTCAGAAACAAGAGCGCATGCTGCGCGTTCCATTTATATAAAGTACAACAACAGACAAAGCGAACGTGAACGGTTAGAAGTCAGGAGAGTTATTGTCCTGGGCGGGGGAGGTGAGGCGTAGCTGGGAAGGGAGCCAAAGAAGGTCTTGGGGTCCAGGTCATGTTTTCTTTCTTGGTCTGGGTTTGGATGACAGGGGTGTGTTCGTTATGAATTCATGATGTCTATGTGTGTATGAGGCACACATGTAGTTATGCTGGAAAATCGTAAATAAAGGCAGTTGCTTGGTAGAAGCCAAGGTGATCGGTGCACTGAAGTCTATAAGTAACACTTATGGTTAATGACAGAAATAAATAGCTGGTCTTCAGTGACGGAGCCTTCTGCATGGGGCCCTCTGGTAACGGGGGTAGGTACTTCCCTCATGGCCATCTGTGGGAGGTGGGGTGGCACCCCACTTTCACAGATGGGGCCACTGAAGCTTAGGGAAAATAACTTCCTGTGCCCCCAGATCTCTTCACAATATGTGTCATGTGCCCCCACAATTCACCTCACAGCACAGAACTTGGCACAGGAGGGAGAAGAGCATGTTCTTGCACTGTCACCAGCCACCGCTTCCTCACATGCTAGAGTCCTTTCTGGGGCCCCTCTGATCCCCGCTGTACCAAATGGCACTTAATTGCCCTCTGTCACTAGGTCTGGACCAGGCCTGGGAGTGCACAGTTGTCCTGGTGATTGAGGCGGGAGGAGCCCTGCGTGGGGGAGGGGAAGATGTGAACTAGGGTGTGCTGGGGGGTCGCCCCAGCCCCAGGGCCTTGGTTCTGTCTGTCCCCTCCTGTGGCCTTCTCCCCACTTATGAGATTCCTTGTCCCAATCCCTGGCCCATTTGCCACCAAGCCCACATACAAACTTTCCCTGCCCCAAATTCTGTTTCTTTGGGAAGACTTCATGGGCTCACCTGGGCTCCAGGTGGGGTCCAAGGAGATGTCATCCTCCTCTGATCCTAGAGGCCCTTTACATCTTTCTAGAAGTGTCAGGGATGTGGCCCTCCAGCCTGTGGAGCGTGGAGTCTTTCCCCAGTGCTTGGGTTACACGGAGTCAACATCTAATAAATAAAGAATTATGATAATAACTTGAGGAAATTGATGCCCAGCATTGAGGAGGTCCAAAACAAAGGGAAAACCCTCTGGGACCAGCGAGTGAGGAACACAGGCGTCCTCCCCAGAGACCGCCAACTCATTTAAATTAATAAATCCCACTTTCCTCGGTGCCTGAGTATCAGACTTATTTATGCATCTTAGAATTGGCCAAAATGTCGAGTGAGGGAACAAAACAATTAGAGCTCCTTCTTTGTACAGAGAGGTTTCTGAGCTTGCTCTTATTTTGGCTGAATGTAGGAAAAGGGAGACAAATTGAATTCCAACTGACAAATAGATGGCTTCTAAATCTACAGGCTGCCAGATAATCAAATTGTTGGAAATTTTCACTTTTTAATTGCTTCTTTTGCCTTTCTGGGTATAGGCCTAAAACCCTAACACAGACTGGTCTTTCTTGAAAACATCCTAGCAGAGCTCAACACTGGAAAACGTGGGTTCGTTCTGACATGTCTCTATATGGAGACTCTTTGCACAAAGTGGGGACATTTAAAATCTTTAGAAAATCATAAAGCATGGCTCTGAGCCCCTGATATTTCTGGGTCTTAAGAAGGTCAGTGTGGGAGAGACCAAGAAAGAGAGGTGTACAGTTAGGGTATGGAATGGCCCTCAAAGGCTCAGGTGCTGGAGGCTGATTCCAAGCTGGAAGTGTTATTGGGAGACAGAGGAAGGAAGTCAGGGACATGCCCTTGAAGGGTTGCTATGACCCCGAGTCTTCCCTCTCTCTCTTTCTGCTTCTAGATCATCTGCTTCGCTAATCCCTCTACCATGATAATCTGCCTTACTGGATACAATAGAGGCAGCCAACCATAGTCAGAAACCTCTGAAATCATGAGCCAAAATAATTCTTCTCTCTTGTAAGTTGTTTTTCTCAGGTATTTTGTCACAACTATAGAAAGCTGACTAACACAAGAGGTGAGACAGAGGGCTTGTGGGGAACTCAGGGCAGCAGTGTATATCAATACCCATGGGGATGGGTATTTCAACAGTACAGATGACTAAATACCAGACCTGCCCACCTCTATTCTTACTGCACAGCTGGGGTGGGGAGAAGGGTCTGATTAGCTTTTTGTGGGTCATTCCTGTTCTTTTCCCTTGAACCTTTTTCTCAGATATCCCTGATAAGACTGTCATGCCTACCCTAACTCACCTAGTTAGGGCCAAAGCAATTCCCAATCTGGGTACCCAGAGTTCATGCAGATTTTACAATACTGCCTCATGTCAGACACCAGGTGTGTTACCAGATTTTCATAGCTGTTACCAAAATTCCTGAAAAGAACAACTTAAAGAGTTGTTTATTTTGAGCTCATGGATTTTAGGGGGTCCATTCCATGGTTGGTCAACTCCATTGCCTTGGACCAACATGAGGCATAGCATCATGGCAGAGGACATGGTGGAACAAAGTTGTGCAGCGCCTGGTAGCTGGCAAACAGAGACCATGAGGAGCTAGGGACAACATGTAACTCCCAAGGGGACACCCCAGTCACCGACTTCCTCCAGCCACACCCCTACAGTTACTTCTTAGCGATCCACTCAAAATAATAATCCATCAAATGGACTTACCCACTGATGAGGTTAAGCTCTCATGATTCAATCACTCACCTCTGAACCTTCCTGCACTGTCACACACAGGAGCTTTCAGGGGATACCTCATGTCCAAATCATAAAGCCAGGCACAAGCTCTGCAGTCCCCAGACCTTCCACACGTCTGACCCACTGGCTACCAGTTGGGGCTTCCCAAGTCTCTCTCAGGCTCCATAATTCAGTAGAACAACTCACAGAACTCAAAGAAGCTTTATACACTTGCAGGTTTACTACACAGGATCCAGGTCAGCACCAGCTAAAAGAGACCCAGGAGCAAAGCAGGCAGGGTCTCGAAGATGAGATGTCCATGTCCTCGGGTCCCATCACCCTCCTGGCACACTGCTGACTGGCATTAGCCATGGAAGCCTATCTGAACTTCAGTGTCTGGAGTTTTCATTTGGGTTTCTTTACCAAAAGCATGATTGAAATGACAGAATGATTGAACCCCAGGAGGCCGGGTGGGAGTGATCAGCCCTCCAGGAGACGCTGGGCCACATGGAGGTGAGGAACCATGGCCTCAAACATAGGAAGTTCTCAAGGAAGCTCTGTGGAGAGAATGGAGGACCCTGGGGGAAGATCTTCTTCATCCCACCTATGGAAGCAAGTTCTGTGGTTCCTCAAATAGCATCTGTCTCGGTATTGAAGATTTGTCACTTTTGGCCACAGAGGAATTTCTTTTCCAGTCTGGGAGCTCTAGAGGGAGAAACCTGGGCTCATCATAATTAGCCCGACGCAGGCTGCCAGTGTGTGGTAGAAGTCATCTTGTGCTTTTTTGCCTCCGTATGTACAAGGTGTTCTCAGAAACACAACTGCCCTAACATTGTCTCAGGACACCCAAGCTCCTTTCTCTTCTTTTATTGGGGAAAGTAATATTATGTTGTGTTATTTCAAAGGGTCAGCAGTGGGTGAAGCAGAAGAGAAACACCTGATCTCCAAAACATTCTTGCTGCAGTGGGAGGGAATAAAGCTTGTTGTGGGCCAGGCTATATGGGCAATGACCAAACAGACTCCATTTTACTCTGAGACTCCATATCATGTAAGAAATGCTTCTCCCATGGGAAAGCCCCGCCTCTGTACCCATGAATAGTTACCTAACATAGCATACTTGGCAACACAAAAGAGCAAGTCTTACACAATGTAAAATTGCTCTCTTTGGTTTCCATTTTTCCTGGGCAATGTACCTTGCCAGAGATTGATTCTATAGACAGTAGTAACCATTCTCTAACTAGTACTGAACTAGGGTCATTTTGACCCATTTCCCTTCTGCTTGCTTGCTGCTTTGCCGACCTGGAAAGTCCCATGGGACATACCAATGTACCCATTGCATTGTCTCGCTAACTGCCCAATTCAGCTTCTGTACCTGCTTGTTTGCAGCTACGTCAACCCAAATGTGGTTTTTGGCTTTAAATATCCTAAAATGCTCCGGCTTGAGGCTGTTACTTGCAGAGACATTTATGGGTCCTGCAGGGGGCAATCACCAGCTGGCTAAATAAAAACTCTTCAATTTGGACAAAACTGGGACTTGGTGTGTTTTCTGAGCAACCTTCCCCACAACATTTGGAGGCCACAGCGAGATCTACTTTTCTTGCATTCCAGAGATCTCAGGACCACCAAGGGAGGTGCTGTGGCAGAGAGATTGCCTAGGGAAAGGCCTCTGAGACGATGTTCCTAGTCCCGGGCCATCCCTCCCACCTAAAACTCCCACCCCCTCCCACCTAAAACTACCAAAAGTCGTCTGTTTCCCTGGGGAAGGTAAGTCTAGTCTGTGTGGATCCGTATCTGGAGAGGCTCAGGGAAAACTGGATGCAGCATTATTTCCCAAAGTCCAGGGCTAGCAAGACATTGCTTGGTCCTCTGGTCCGAGTCTGGTTTTTACTGAGTCCTCTGGTCTGAATCTGGTTTTCTGTCGGTTACATTTCTCTGGTGCCTTACCTGTTGTGTCTGATTTTGTGTTTTTGTCTTGTCTGGTTATTTGTAATTGTCCCCTTTTTGTTGTGTGTTAATTTCTATGTCAGTTTGTTTCTAATGTTAAAAATGGTTAAAAAGGTTTTTAACTGTGCTCACTGAAGTTTGCATTAACATGTAAATGGCTGCCAACAGGACTAAAAATGTTGAAAGTAAAAGCTAGAGGTTAAAAAAAACATTCTGGAGATTGCCTTTATTTAGGAACTGGGCCAGGTGGCTGACAGGGTAGACCAAGTCAGTTCCTTTGAGGGCAGACTAGAACTAAAATGTTTTATAAAATTATTATTTCTAAGTTGTATAACAAAAAGCATAATTTTGTCTAGGAAATTTGGCTTTTGTCTCAGTATTTGTAAGCATGAATAACTTCCAGCTATTAAAAATGGTCCAAAGATTTTTCAATATCAGGCTAAACTTTGGTGGCTACTCTCCAAGAAACCAGAAAAACTAGAATGGGATCCCTACGTGGGGGGACTCTCGAGGAGACCAATGTGAGCTACCTCTTTGGGAAGTTCCTTCAGGGAGGAATAAGACCCTGTCGTTTGTCTATGTTCCCTTAACTTTTTACCTTTGATGAGCAAGACCACCTCAAGACAAAGACCAAGAAAGCTTTTAAAATTTTATATTTGTTAAATTCATGATTCTGATCTGACATACCTAGGTTAATATGTTTTTCTGATTACATTTTGCTTTGCTCTAAGGCTAATTTACAAGGGTTAACTCTCAATCGAATAGGTTTTTGAAAAATGACCTACAAGACCTTTATTTGTTTTATGTAGGGGCACCCGTGTACTCTCAGTACTCTCAGTCTATGTGTATTGCCATGTCTATATATATTGGGTATCAAAAATTGACACATGAGCTCATAAATGAAAATTTAAAAAAATGGATCCAAATGCCTTTGTTCATATGATTTAAAAGGTTCAATATAAATTGGGTAAATAAATAAAAGTAAAAATGTCTTTAAAGTTACTAACGCCCAGTTTTGTTTCTAGGTGCTCGAACAGTTGCTGATAAAATGGTAATGTCTATAAAGTTTCTAATATCCATTGTCTCTAGGATTTTTTTTTTCAACAGGAAAAAAATGACAATGCTATTCAATGCACTTGTCTGATACCTTGGCTTTTTCATTTTTAAATAAGTAAATTAGATCTGACATGTATGGAATTAATTATGGATGTGTTTGTTAGACATCTGATTGGTTTACAGAGTTAAAAATGCTGTTAAATATAATATCAAGTACTCTTAACCTTAAGTATCATAAAATAAAATACTTAATCATTGGTGTTTTCATAAATTGGTAAGTTTTAAAAAGAAGTTGAAAATTACTTTGTGTCATCACTAAAACAAGGTTACTAAAAGTTAAAGTCATAACAGGTGTAATTCAAAATATAAGGGGTCCAAA